GGAGAACTTTTCTTTTTTACTATTTATTATGTCGTGTTATGTCTTTGAATTAAAAAAAAAATGGTAGTGTTTTCAATTATGAGGTGGTGAGTTCTGATATATATATATATATATATATATATATATATATATATATATATATATATATATATATATATATATATATATATATATATATAGCAGAACAATAAAAGAGTTAAGTTTCATATTACAATTTGACTTACAATAACCTAAAGGTGCTACTCCGATTGCTATTCGAGATCAAAAAGATGCCGACAATGGCTAAAAGTTGTAATTTTAGTACATATATAAGAAGAAAAAATGGTGTGAAATTGGAAGTACTGAGAGGAACTACAAGTTTAAAATAAGCGACTACTGATTTTGAATTCTCGCTAATTAAAATTGTGTTTCAGACTTAATTACATGACGTAATGTATGTTAGATTATGTGAAAGTTCTCCAATTGGAATAAAATGCATCGATCAATATTTATTGGGTTACAATGGTACGGTTACTAGTCCTAACTAATTTAAGAAATTTAAACAAATTTTCTTTTGGAAGCTAAAAAACTCTAAATTTTGATACCATGTTAGATTTGTAAAACTTTACTCCTCAAATTGCTTTGGAATGCATTGATCAATACTTACAATGATGTTACAATGTTTCTAGTCGTCCAAACTATGTTATGAAACCTAATATACAAAGAAACATTTGCATAAAAATATATCATAACTTATGATACAGAATAACTTTTGTATATTCTCTATAAATCTATCAATGCAAATCCTTTTAAGCTTTAAAATTCAAATTTTCTAATTTAAAATCTGTAATAAATTACAAAGTGCAATAGAGTTTATGGGTTGGATTTTGATATGAACTTGATCTAAAAAATATGAGTAGTATGTAGATCTGAACCCAAACACATTTAAGATAACTAATGGATGGCCTGATTTTATGTAGATATCATATTATAATTGAAGATAATATGAAAACGATCGAACCTAGGCTACCAAAGAAGAGTGTATTTTCACAAATCAAACAAATCCAGTGTTGAGTTGAACAATTAACAGGAATTGAAACTTAATAGTTGTTTAAAATGTCATCCTTAATTTTGATAGAAGGGTCATTGACAGTGTCGAACTGTCATAATTAGTCGTCAAGTTAATAGTTAATTACACTACCACCCCTAAGTATGAATATACTGCCATATTGGGGCAAATTGAACTTCATTTAGAGAGCAAATTTACGAATTATTTCCCTGTCGTATGACATAATAATAGTACAAAAAACACCATAGGAGTACAATCTTAGCTTGTCCCACATATACCAAAATTGTGGTGGACAAATTTTATGAGTACATAGGTAATCGTCCACGTTTTCTGTCATCCTTTTTGTTTCAATTGTACGTTTTAAAAACCCAAGGAATTGAATGGTGATTCTCAATTTTACGGTCTTATCTAGCTACAAGCAAATATTATCCGTCAAGTACTTCAATATTAAGGGCTATGTTTGAAATTTGAAGTATTTTGAGAAATAGGATTTAACAAATTTGGACATTGGTTGTATAATTTTAGTGAAACTAGTAAAAGAACAAACATTATATTATTTTATCCCTCTCTTCACTTCCTCTTCATATTCTCTTATGCAAAGTGTTGTGATATTCAATTTTCACCGAAGTTCGTATAAAATACCCACAATATAAAATAGCAAAAGTTAGAGGACTATTAATGAGAAGGAATATAGTAAAATATTGTTTAAAGCTTTCAAAAAAGAAAATAAAGCAAGTAATAAAATATGACTACAAAAAAAAAAGTAGAGCAAGTAATAAAACACGAAAGGACTACAAGTCAATATATTACGGAGTATATATGGGTAATTATACATGCATTTTATTGAAATTTGAAGTATGCAACTTATGCATAAAACAAACTAATCAATTAATGCTTTCATTTAAGTACAAAAATAAAAATATATACTCGTATTACTGTTTACTTACATTATAAATATACATATTATTTTATTAAAGTGATAATGATGCAATTGTCCTAGTCAAGATGGTACAAGTGTGGACCACCTATGTTTTGAATTATTGATATAATCTTATTAACGTTTCCTTTTTTCCGTAACAATGAAATATTACAGTGATACATATAATACCATACATGTAACTAGGGATAGCAACAGATCGGATTTGGATCGGATTATGCATAATTCGACTCCGAACTTACAAGCTGTCGGATTTTTTTTTTTGAATCCGACTCCAACTCCTATAACCCGCCTCCGACTCTGACTTATATATATGTCACCGGCCTCCGACTCCGACCCGATTCCCAAATTTTTGTTTTGCTCCAATTTTTTGATGTAAAAACAAACAATTTAATCAACGCTTATATGCTTTTTAAATAAGAGTAATAATTTTAGTGGTGATATAGATTATTAAGAAGGTAACTTTAAATTAGCCACAAAAGAAGCGAGAATGTCAGAGCTCTAAATCAAAGAAGACTTTACAATCTAAATATTAATTTTATTTTATTTTTTCAAACTAAATAAGCAGTATGTTTCAAACTAAAAAATTCTCATTAAATTTTTCCATAGTTCTCTAGTAATTGACATGCAAAACTACTTTTCTTCAATGACAAATTTAGAAAACCCACCCATTCCAATTCCCACCGTAACATCAACAATTAGAACTAAACAACAAAATTAATTAAATATTATATCAACCATTAGTTTGCTTCACAAATTGTCTACTCCAATTTAAACCAACAAGCAAGTTAACAATGATTTAAGATAAAATTAAGAACACTGAAAAAGGAAGGGAAAAAACCTGGTAATTGAAGTAGGCTGCTGTAGTGTAGTTGGAAGGTGGTGGTGGTCGGAGGGCAGTGTTGACTTCAAAATTGAGTTTGTGATGGTGCACTGTGTAGTAAGAGACAGAGAAGAGGAAGGTTTTGTGTTTGTGACAGCTAGAGAAATGAGTTAGAAGGTCAACTTTTGATTACGGTTTGTAACATTATTTTATGAAAATTTTTAGCTGTATCATAATTTTTTTGGGTGGTAACTATTTTTGTATTTTAAATTACTTTTAAATAAATTATAAATTTTTTTGAGACATAAAATGAATTTTAATAGCTAGGCTTCTCTAATCTCAGTTCATCTTGTCATCTATTTGAAGTGATATCCTTAATAACAAAATTAAAGTGTTTTTATTTTTTGGGTACATTTTATATTAATATGGTTAGTAGAAATTATATAGTTAGTTGATATTTTTTTGTTGTTTTTTTTTTTGGTTTTTTGGCATATTAGAGTAAAGTTTAATAAAGTCTAATTAAGTCTAACAAGTTAAATTTAAATAAGTTTAGAAGTTAAAAACACACCCTTATATTAGTATAAATAATAAATAACTGAATACAATTAGATAACTAACTTTAATATTATTCAATTAGCTTTGTATGATTTCATTTAAGTTTTTTATTTGATTTTATAAGCTTTGTATGACTACATTTGATTTTCATTTGATTTAGTTAGCTTTGTTAAATGCATTTGAATTTCAATTGATTCAATTAGATTTTTTCAAATATATTTGAGTTTCATTTGATTCTATTAGATTTATTGAAAGTACTTGAGTTTAATTTTATTAAATTAGCTTTGTTTAAATTCATTTGACTACATTTGAGTTTCATTTGATTCAATTAGCTTTGCAAAATGCATTTGAGTTTCATTTGATTCAATTTGCTTTTTCAACAGCATGTGTGTTTCATTTGATTATCAATTAGCTTTGTTTGACTACACTTAAGTTTCTTTTGCTTCAATTAATTTTTTTTTACTTCAATTGACTTAATTGTTTGACTTCAATTGACTTTCATTTGATTCAATTAGTTTTGTTAAATGCATTTGAGTTTCATTTGATTCAATTAGTTTTTTTTTTTTCCTTCATTTGATTTTTAATTGATTCAATTAGTTTTATTTGAGTTCAGTTGAGTTTCTTTTGATTTAATTAGTTTTATTTCACCACATTTGACTTTCATTTGATTCAATAAGCTTTGTTTGACCACGTTTGAGTTTCATTTGGTTTAATTAGCTTTATTTGACTTCAATTGACTTATTCGATCCAAATTTTGTTTGATTCCATTTGACTTTCTTTTGATTTAGCCCAATAGATTCAATTTATCCGAATTTCACTTATATAGCATCGTACATGACGTATTAATGCTTATTTGTAGCTTATATGGTGCAACACTTTTGTGTTTTTTTTTTTTTTTGGTTAAAAGCCACTGAGAAAAGGTGAATTTTCAAAAATAAATAAATTATATGGATTATTATTATTACTATTATGTTATATAAATTTTATTTGTATTCATTTTTCAATAGCATAAACCGTATTTTCAAGGTGTGTTCTCCTTTCGATTTCTTATTTTAGTCCCATTTGGAATCTTGGCCTCTTGGGAGATTCCAATGCAATTTTAATCATAACTATAATATCTTTTCTATTTTTCAAAAGATACTCACAAAATTACATTGAAAATAGTAGTAAAAAAAAGCATAGGGTCGGATATTACAAAACAAATGGTAGAACATTACAAAAAATTACATAATAGAAGTCGAGGTCGGATTCGGAGTCTGATGTCGGGTTGGATTTTACGGAGTCGGAGTCGGGTCGGATAAGTCGGATTTTTTTCAGAACCCACCTCCGACTCGAATTCGAATTTTTTTAATGGAGTCGGATTCGAGTTATTTATTTTCGGATTCGAATCAAATTTTTTTTCTTTAAATCGGATCGGACCAGGTCGGAGCTGGATCAAACTATCATCCCTACATGTAACAATTGAACATTATTAGAATACACAACTATGCCGTACCTTTTTAACTTCCCAAAAACTCCCTATATCGGTCACAAATTTTGTCACATACCATCCTTATAATATTTCTATAAGTACCATCCCTACCGTTTCCAATTCTCCATCATCCCTCAAAACTCAAAAAAATAACCTAATCCTAGAAATGGCTTCCTTCCTCCCTACTGCTGCAATTACTCTCCTTCTCCTTGTGCTCTCTCCTTCTCCTAGTGTCGCAATCGTAGATGGAGACGGCGACATACTACGAAACGGAGGGTATTACTACATCCTTCCACACTCATCAAGCAAAGGTGGGCTAACATTGACACCAGCTAAGGACTCTTCACTCTGCCCTCTTTTTATAACCCAAGATTCGTCCAATAGCCGCGGCTTGCCTGTGAAGATCTCGACAGTTTACAGAATACCATACCTTTCGTCTGGATTTCCCATCGATTTCTCCTTCGATAAGGTCACCACCTGCTATAAATCGCCGCACTGGTGGGTGGCCCCAAGTGATGCCAACAACAAATCGTACGTGCTTGTCGGTGCTTCCGGGCCATTCAAGCCTACTTATTATTATAATATTGTAGAAGCTAAAACTGGTAAGAATGTGTACAACATTAAGTTTTGTCACACAAGTGAGTCCGAAATCAAGTGTAAGGACGTTAGTATTCTTGATGATGGAATGTTGGGAGTCATCGAGGATAGTCCTTTTCCTGTTACATTTGAGAAATATTCTCCAAATATTGCTTCCTATGTTTAAGCTTGTAACTTTAGTACTTGCATGTGTTAATGTGTTCTACGTGTGGCTATAGTCCATGCATGAATAAATTTCTCCTCTTTTGATGAAGAAATGAAATACAAGTATGTATTATTAGTGACAACTTTTCTTTTTTTCTATTTGTCATATTATGTCTTTTAATAAAGTTTTAAAAAATATGGCAGTAATTTAAGGCGATGGTTTATGCTATTTTCTAATTTATATGTCCTATATAATATTTAAATTATACTCCGATCCATACAATATATTGTAGAAATGATTTGGACCTAAGCTTGCTCCAACCTGAAAATTTGTTATCAATTTGGAATGGGTTTATTATGGGTTTGAATTCATCATACTCCATTTATAGTTTTATCGAATAAATATAATGATCAAAATGAAATGATAAAAATAAAGCAAAATAAACCAGCTTATCAAACAAAATAAAAGAGTTGAGTTTCTTATTACAATAACCTAAAGTTGATACTCCCACTGCTATTCGAGATCAAAAAGATGCCGTTAATTTTAGGACACATGTAAGAAGAAAAAATGGTGTGAAATTGGAAGTATGAGAGGGATGTTAAGTTTAGACTGAGAGGAACTACTAATTTAAAATTAAGGGCTACTAACTTTGAATTGTCGTTAATTAAAATTGTGTTCCAGGCCTAATTAATTACAAGATTTAATGTATGTTAGAATATGTGAAACTCCTCCAATTGGTATATAATGCATCGATCATGTAACACCCTAGAAATTCCTTTTCGTTAAAATACCTATTTTGCCCTTTTAAATAACGAAATAGGAAAATCTAAGACATTACCGCCACCGTGAAAACGACTAAGGCAAATATCAAAGACTCACACACTGCAGAAGACCACTTTTAAAACCATTTAAAAACAAGTCAACTTAAAAAGTCAAACCAAACGAAAGTAAATGTCAAACTAAGTCAAACAAAGTCAACCTACAACTTGGAACCATTGTAAGCCCTTAAAACCCAATCAAAATTTAAAACCTTTGCGTTAGTCTCATGATCATAATAAAATAAATAATATTCAAAGCAAATAAAACACATCATATTCCTATGAGAACTAAGTATGATTTGCACTTCACTCATGCCCTTCATGAATATGCTTCATCACCTGAAAAGCTTCTCTCTACTTGTCCCCACTACTCGCCATTAGAAATGGGTCGTCGTAGGGTTAAGGTAAAGACAAGGTCAAACAAACATACAAACACACAATCAGCAAAACTGAGTACATAAGCATAATAAACACACTAACATGCTTAGCTTCCAACCTATCATCACACAACTTACCTCGTTGCCCCTGTTTACAAGCATACAAAACATTCAACACCTAACTAGACCAACACCAATGTTCACTTAATTTTGATTACACATCGAACGGGTTTTCAACCAAATCTCTGCCTCAAATAAATTGAGCTAAACTACACAGGGAACTAACCGGGTAGGAAAATGTCACGTAGTGTGACTGGACGTCCTGCGCACAATAATAATAAAAAGGAAAATACAGCGCCCTGTACTCCCAGTAGAAGTTATGGTCAAATATAAAGTCGCATAACTCCCCCCATATGTTCATACTCAAGCTAAGGTATATTTGTTCCAAGAGTTTTGGTGTGTAATCTCTTTCACTTTACGTTATTTACATATTATTAGACTCGGTGATGACTCTCAAACCATAACACAATCAAACATTATCATTCATTCAAGCAATCAAACATACCAATTTAATTCTTGAATAATTAGTGACCACATAAATTTAATAGTTGAACCCTTTTTAATCTACCTCAGTGTCAAAGACACCTTAAACGCATAATGCGCCGCAAATCCTATCCCTCGGTGTTAGAAACACCTTAAGTGCATATAAGCACCGCAATATAATTTATTCCTGTGTACTAAGACACTTAAATAGCTCAATTCTCATGCTTAAAGTATCAATAAAAACTATATGAACCATAATAAAATTCCTTTTCAATATTCCAAACCAAATTAAACACTTAGTTTTATTAAACATACTCTCTATCATGCCAATAATAAAAGTGTGGTTCATATCCAACATGCCAATATAATTAATTCCAATCACCAATTCACCATAATAATTCATACATCACAAATCAATCACCAACATCAATCCAAATCAACAATTCCAACCAACACCTATCATGATACTACTTGAAATTAATTACACAAAGCCTAGCATGCTTCTACATATTCAAATAATTACTTAGTACGCGAACGTACCTTGAATATGATCTCAAAATCGCCACGACTAAATAAAATCACTCACTTGAAAGTCTCCTACAAACCAAAATTATAAAGAAGTATTAATACCTCTTCCACACAAATTTCCAGCAATATATTCTCTCTTTAAATCACTGATAAACCCTCTAAAGTAATCTGAAATTTTATTTAAAACCCTTACTTTTATTCCCAATTAATGGGTAATTAAAAATCCTTTCAAGAAACTTGATTATAGGTTATATATAAAAATTTCAGCATTATTAAGACTTATAAAATTGATGTAATTTAGTTTTAAAACATTAATTTCAATAGCCACAATCAAATTCCATCAATAGATATCAATTTCAATTTGGGGCTTTTTAATTTAAAAATTAAATCTGAAAATTAATATACAAAATACTTATTATTAAACATCATAAAATCATCACAAAACCCAAAAACAATAATTAGATTAGGGGTGGATTGTATTAAAAACAAAACAATAATTAAACCGCACCAAATTGCACCGCAAAATGCAGTTTGGTGCTGTATGATTTGCGGTTTAGCCATATTTTTTTTTAAATTATAAATAATTTTTTTTTAAGAAAAAACTTTTATTTTATTTTGGGATTATTAACATATAATTCAAATATTTAAACTTTTTAAAAACCTTAATTAGCTAATAGTAAAAGATTAGCTCATATTTTAAGTTATTTTATATATATTTTTTAATAGAAATAGTATAAAAATGGTTTAATGGTTTGCGGTTTGATGGTATTAACCATAAACCGCATCAAACTGCGGTTTGGTCTAACTTTTTTTTGGAAACCACACCAAGCTGTTTTACAGCAGTTTGGTCAACTTCATAAACCGCACCGCAATTTTCAAACCGCAAACTGCACCAAACCGCAAAATTGCGGTTTGGTGTGGTCTAGACCGCACTCTAAACAGCCCTAGGAGTGAGATGCATTGATCAATATTACAATTTTTTTAAAGGTAAAATACACGGTTTAATAACCCCCCTATAATAGAAAAGGATCATTAGAATCTAAAGTCCACCTGTCACAGGATCAGACTAATAGATAAGGTTAAAACAGTACAACTAAAAAAAAAATTAGATAATAATTACAAATCAAAGCTTCTCAAGGAAGCTATACAATAAGCTTCCATAGGAAGATAAACTAAAAAAAAAATATTCAAAAAAAAAGAAACAAAGACCCAAAAATAATATAACCCAGAAGGTTTGCCGACAATCAAACGGAGGCCGAGACGCGAAGGCGGTGGCGGTGGAGGGGGCAGTGGTGACGGAACAGGTGGCGGTGGTGACGGTGGCGGTGAAGGCGACGAAGGCGGCGAAATCGGTGAAACCAAGGCTTTTCAATTCCACTGACTTGAACCCTAGATTTTCAACCAACCACAAATTGAAGTGGATTGAAGTATAGAAAACGAAATCAAAAGAAAAACCCATTATATCAAAGCTGACAAGCATGATATAAAAAATAAGATCTGAAAATCTCGTTAAATTTCAAACCCTTTGGTAATCATCCCTTTAAAACTAAAGAGAGATTAAGATGAAGGGGTTGTTTCGGAGGAGGACCGGCATCGGCGGAGGCTGCGCGTCGACTATAGCGGCCATAACATTATTAGTCCTAACTATGTTAGCTTAGGAAACCTAATATGACAAAAAAACATTTACATAAAAATATATCCTAACTTATGATACAAAATAGCTTTCATATATTCTTTATTAATGTACCAATGCATATCCTTATAAGCTGATAATTCATGCATCCTTAAAATGACTACCATTATACTAATTTTTTTATAGGCTGATTTTGATCTATAATTTAATGTCAAAAATAGTTACCTAATTTTTAAATTTTATTTACTAACTTTGAAATAGTTTTTGAATATTTTAATAATTTTCCTCATTAATTTACTAATTCAATTTTTTTTTATTACTGAAATTAAAAAATAATTCATAAATAAATTATGAATATATAAAAAAAAATAACAAATATATTTTAAAAATAAGAAAAATATTTTATAATTAATTTTGACATGAAAAATAAATAAAAAATCAGCTAATAAAAATTTAATATAATGATGACTACTATGGAATCTTCACTTATAAGCTTTAAATAATTTCAGTTTTTTAAATTTTTATCTGTAATAAATTACAAAGTGCAATAGAGTTTATGGGTTGGAATTTGGTTTGAACTTGATCTAAAAAATACAAGTAGTATGTAGATATCAATATTATAATTCTAGATATATGAAAACAATCGAGCCTAGGCTACCAAAGAAGAGTGTATTTTCACAAATCAAACAAATCCATTAGAACATTGGTCATATTGAGTTCAACAATTAATAGGAATTGAAACTTAATTGTTAATTAAAATGTCATCCTTAATTATGATTAAAGGGACATTGACAGTGTCGAGATGTCATAATAGATCGTCAAGTTGATAGTTAGTTAAACTGCCACCCCTAATTATAAATTGGACTTCATCTATAGAGCAAATTTACGAATTATTTCCCTTTCGTGTGACATAATAGTACAAAAAACACCATAAGAGTACAATCTTAGTTTGCCCAACATCAACCAAAATTGTGGTGGACAAATTTTAGGAGTACGTAGGCAATCGTCCACGTTTTGTGTCATCCTTTTTGTTTCAATTGTACGTTTTAAAAACCCGAGGAATTGAATGGTGATTCTTAATTTTATATATCTAGCTACAAGCAAATATCATTCGTCAAGTAC